CCCCTCTCCCCTGTGGCTATAACCTTTGTTGTACTAATCATTTATTTGTTGATTAAAATGTTTAGAAATATAAAATTCCTCCATGGTTGTTTCTTTTTTGGTTATTTGGTATGATTTAATGGTTATTATTTTCTTTAATTTTTTTTATCATTTGGTTTTAACTCATCATTTACTTAGGGTTGAATTATTTCTAGACTCCACTTAAGTTTGAATCCTTTCTTCTGTATCTGTGTGTTTAATGAAATTTTATGTCCCTACACATAGCCAAGTTTTGTAAAATCTCCATATATAGCTGATACGTACATTCCTTTTTTATTCCAATTCAGCAATCTCCAGAGATTTAGCATACCCATTTTCTTTTCTTAATTTAGGTCTTTAACTTTTTATCTCTTTTTTTGTTAGATTTGCCTACTTGTGAAAGGAACAATTTGACCACTTTTTTTTTTTTGGTTAGGCAATGGGGTTGTGACTTGCCCAGAGTCACATAGCTAGTAAGTGTTATGTGTCTGAGGCAGAATTTGAACTCAGGTCCTCCTGAATCCAGGGCCGATGCTCTATCCACTGTGCCACCTAGCTGCCCCAAAGAAGTGGCATCACGTTTTTTCTTTTTAAATTGCTATTTGTCCCTACAATTTAATTTGCTTTTACTTGAAGTTGTTAGATGCTATGCCACTTGATATACATCCCACGCGCTAGCATTGCATTGTGCTAAGTGCTACAGATACAAATACAAGTAAAAAATATGCTTCTGCCCATAAGGAGATTACATTCGAGTAGGGGATGGTCTCAATGCGAACTAGGGTTGGAAACTGGAGTTGGGAGTAGGTGCATAGCAGCATGGTTTGGAAGTGTCCAGGAAGTAGCATGGTGGCCTCATTCCAAGCACGATCATGCGATAGCTCATCAATCAGAGCCTAGCATTTTTGGGGCCGAGTCCCAGTTTCAGTAGAAAGATGCATCTCTAAGAATAATGTATTTTTATCTGTTTATCACGTCTCATGTTCAGTCATCATCTAATCTCTTCTTGTTGCATGATTCTCTCTTGGTCAGTTCACCTCCCTAACAGTGAATTCCCTAATAGGCCCCAGTGGAAGGCTGGAGACCCTGTTGGCCTTAAACCCCCTGCATGGTCCTCCTTGTGTTTTTGGCAAAGTAATGAATTAACTCTGTTTCTGGTTGTGATGGGGCAGCTAGGTGGCTCAGTGGATAGAGTGCCAGGATTGGAGTTAGAAAGACTTAATATAACTTCCTGAGTTCAGATCTGGCCTTAGACACTTATTAGCTGCATGAGTCTGGTCAAGTCACTTAACTCTGTCTGCCTTGGTTTTCTGATCTGTCAACGGAGCTGGAGAAGGAAATTGCAAACCACTGCGGTATCTTTGCCAAGAAAACCCTGAATGTTAGGGGCGCAGAGAGTCAGACATGGTTGAAAATGACTGAACGACAACTAGTTGTGAATCTCAGTACTCTAAGAAGCGCATAGCCAGGCCCTGTCTCCCAGAACAGTGACTTATGGATAGTTCTGGCCCCTGACTTGTGTTTCTGACAGGCAAGGGGCTAAATATGACTTTAGGCAACTGATTATTGCAGCTGATACTGGCCTCCCCTTCTCATTTTTGCTTGCTTTTAATCTGGTTACTAGTATTCCCTCTGGTTTCCCTAGTGTGACCTTCTCTGTACTTCTGTGTTTCCCTAAGTTGGCACTTGTTTTACTAGATCAATCCTCTTTCCCAGTCTCTGCCCTTTTCTTGCCATCTTTTGGAGAAGTTCTGGACTAAATGGAGAAACTTATTTCTGCTCCCTTTGGTATTTCTTTTATCATTAGTCTCTTTGGGGCCTAGTTATTTGCTACAGTTTATGGGAGTGAACTGGGATTTTTACAATCTCTCAGGATATCATCTTTATGAAAAATCCTCTTCTATTAACCATAGAATCCATTCCTTTTATTATGAGTTTTATTTTATTTACCTATTTCCCCAACCTCAGTTCCTATATTGGGCTCTCGTGGCCAGAATCAGGTTCTGCTCCTTGTATATTCTTGGATAAGGTGAGTAGGTTCTTCCTGATTTAGCTCTCTCTGAAATCTAGATGTTACTGTTGCTGCCCTTTCACAGATTTGGATAGGGTGGCTGCCTTCTAGTCTACTTTCTTGTCCTCTTCCATAACCTTGGATTGGGACAGTGAGCTGGATCTGGAGCTGGGACCAGGACTATGCCTCTCTCTCTTCCACAGTGAGTGGCTTCTATCTCAATCTTGGAAGTCCAATGCATATGGTTGCTTTGGCCTGGTTACCAGTCTTTTTACATGGTCACTTAGAAATGAGTCCATAGCTTCAAGCCTCATTTCCTGTTGCTGCCCTGACTGGCTTGACCTGTGGTAAAGATAGGTTTAGGCCCAATTTCCTGGAAGGCCCCAGTGTACAGGACAGCCCTAGCCCTTCAGTATTCTTGTGTATTCACCTATTCATAGATCCACAGCTCTGGCTTTGTTCCCTGTTGCAAGAATTATAATCAAAAACCTTCTATCCTAGTAGAACATGTCAGAACTTGTGCTCCTCTGGTATGGACTTTAAGAAACCAATATCACTCCCATGCCGCAGGGAAGCAACAAAGTAAGATTTAATTGCCTGAAGCAAATGTCCTCTGAATACTGCATTGGAAAACAATAACATATGGGATAGAAATGTGCAAAATAAAATATTTTGTCAGTTTAAAAGCAGTGAGATAAGGTGGAACACATAAGGTTAATTACCTGCAGTAAGTGTATGTATTCGTAGATTCTTTTGTAGCAGAATATGTCTAGAAAGTGTTCTTATGACTGGAGTGAAGGAAGGTGGCCTAACCACACCAGATCTCAAACTTTATTACAAAGCAGTAATCATTAAAACAATCTGGTAATGACTAAGAAATAGTGGTGAATTAGTGCAATAGATTAAAACAACTTTGACTTCATACTTATCAGATTGGCTAATATGACAGAAAAGTAAAATGACAAATGTTGGAGGGGATGTGGAAAAATTGGGACACTAATGCACTGTTGGTACACTTGTGAACTGATCTAATCATTCTGGAGAGCAAGCTGGAACTGTGCTCAAAGGGCTATAAAACTATGACCTTTGACCCAGCAACACTACTGCTTGGTCTATATCCCACAGAGATTTAAAAAAAAAAAGGGCCTATATGTGCAAAAATATTTCTAGCAGCAGTTTTTGTGGTCTTAAAGAATTGGAAATTGAGGGATACCCATCAATTGGGGAATGGCTGAACAAGTTATGGTATATGAATGTAATGAAATACTATTGTACTATAAGAAATGATGAGCAGAAAAAAAAGAAATGATGAGCAAGGTGGTTTCAGAAAAACCTGGAAAGACTTACATGAACTGATGCAAAGTGAAAGGAGTAGAAACAAGAAGAATTTTGTACAGTAACAGTAATACTGTATGATGATCGTCTGTGAATGATTTACCTATTAGCAATACAATGAATCAAGACAGTTCCAAAGAACTTGTGATGAAAAATGCTATCCACCTCTAGGGAAAGAACTGATGGAATCTGAATGCAGACTGAAGCATATTTTTTAAAACTTTATTTTTCTTGCAGTTTTTGTTTTGCTCTGTGTTTTCTTTTACAACGTGACTAATAATAGAAATGTGTTTTGCATGAATAACCTACATCAAATTGCTTGCTTTCTCACTGAGGAGAGAGGGGAGTGAAAGAGAGAGGAAGGTAGAGAATTTAGACTTAAAATTTTAAAAAATTAAATTTTAAAAAGTGCTTTTATATGTAATTGGAAAAAATAAAATATTTGAAAAAAATTAACAACAGACACAAACATATTACTGAAAAGGAAAACTGTTGTGAAGGCTTATTGAGTTTGTAACTTCATATATGATCCTCAAAACAGTGAGTAGTTCCTTCTTTGGGGCAAGGACAATTGTTTTTAATGGATGGTTTCTATTACTTTTAATCAAATGTTGTCTAGTAGGTAGAGATTAGTAGAAAGTGTATTTTAAAATAATAAGGTTGTTATCTGAGATTAAATAGTTTAGATTCAGGAGCACGGATGAATACTTAGCATAAGAGTCAGGTAGCTGAATCACTTGAAAGAATTCCAGAGAGCAAAGGGGAGTGACCATTACATTTAAGCTAGTCTGGGGAATTTTTAGTGTCATGCAGGAGAAAGGAAGGGTGGAATGGATGTGAAACAGGGAAAACAAACAAAAAAACAGAAAGAAGTTCAGAAGGGGACCCAAACAGAGCAATCTTATTAAATTTGATACATGCTTTAGAAAATAGTCACGTAACACAAGTACATGGTTTCATATATAATCCTTTTTTATCCCTCATATACTGAAATGTTAATGTTTGTTGGTGATTGTTAATAATAATAAAGAAAATTTGAATTTTAAAAAGATCCAAGGCATTTGTATTTATTTCATGGGCTCCTAAAAACATTGCTCAAATTGATCTAGTGGACTCTAATCTTGGTAATTAAATTTCTATGATCTTAGATTCATACCATGGGCTGAGATAGATCTATCTCATCACTCAATATCTCCTTCACTAGCAGTAAACAGCCTTGTTTCTCCACACCCTCACACTCCAACCCACTTTGTGGTTCTCTTTGCTCCTCCTCTTGGAAGCATATGAATTAGCCATACAAGGGATATTTTAGAGGACGTGGAAAGAACCCTCACTGTCAAATACCCCAACATTGCTAAAGAAAAAATAAATCAGAATTCCAAGTCCTATTGCCTGGTATTTTATTAAATTACTGTTGAGAGTAACAGAAAATATTTTGACTATGTAATCAAAAATATTTTAAGCAATAATCTCTGTTTTTTCTGAGTTATGACATCTCATTTTTATTTCACTGCTTTTGTACCCTCCTCCCAGTAAAGTCAATATCAAAGTTATAAATTACTATTCTAGAGCATTAGAAAGGCAAGAAATAAGAAATATCTTGAAAAGATATACAGAATATAAAGATTAATTTTACCTGTAGGTCTCTGTTTTCCATGTGACTGAAAAAAAATTAAACATGTTTAAGTAAACAATAAATAAAGGCCATAATTGTTATGCATCTACTTTTAATTATGTATGCACAAATATTATTAGGTCCTTGGATATGCTTCCTTTAACATCAGTAATATTCATTGTCAGATTAATCTTCTTAAAACTGTTTCTTAAAAATCTAGAGTAGCTCTGTATGGTTAATCAGATTACATTTATACTCCTCAGTTGGTTTTTGAGGTTTTACAATCATTGGTCTTATTTATCTGTCAATTTCATCTTTCACTGTTCCAAAACACAGCCAGTTCTCTCTAGTCAGACTACTCCTTGCTGGCCCCTACAAACGGCGTGCTTGTTTCCACCTCAGCACTTCAATTCAAGATGTTTTTTCCCTGACTTAAATTCCTTTCCCCCTCCTTTATCAATTCAAACCCTAAACTTTCTAAAAGGTTCAAGTTAAGATTTGCATTTTCCATAAAGTCTTCCAAAATACTCCCAACTGCATTGATCTTTTTCTAGTTTTGAATTTCCTTTCACACACCCACACACCCACACACACACACACACACACACACACCCCACTATGAGACACCTATTTATGTTTTGCCTTGCAATTTCTCTCTGGTCATTTCATATAGGAGGTAAGATTATAATTCATTTTTAACATTCCAGAAATTACGTTTCCAAAATAATGTTGTCTCTTTTAAAATAGCTGCCTTGAGAGACTTTTTACTTACTGAAAGGGCTTCCACTGAAAGACATTTTTAGAATTTTTCTTTTGAAATTGTGTTCAAAGTCCACAACAAATTCATTTCAATAGCTGTAATTAAGTTTTCTTTTTCCCTCACCCACCAACTTATTCAATTACCAAACTGTGTTGATTCTACCTCCAAAACTTATCTTCTGTTATCCTCTTTTCTCTACTTCCACCACTTTTGCCCTGGTTCAGGCACTCATCACCTCATTCCTGTATTTTTGGAATGTTTTCCTTTCTTCCATTCTATACCCTCTCCAATCTATCTTCCACACAGTTGCCAAATTGATATTCCTAAAACATGAATTTGAGCATGCTCTTGACCTACTGAAAAATCTTCAGTGGCTCCTTATCATTTCTAGGATAAAATACAAAATCCTAGGTCTGTCATTTAAAGCCCTCCACAGTCTGGTTCCTACTTTTTTAAAAATAGTATTTTTTTTCTAATTACATGTAAAGACAAATTTTAACATTCATCAGGCCAAAGGAATTGAGAGCAGAGTATAGTAACAGAATTGAAATGAGTTTAACTATAGAGTTAAAAAAATTTTATTCTGAACTTAGCAAACACCAAATGAAATGGACATTTCCATATACATAATGGAACAGAAAAATAGAATTATACATGAAACAAAAGTTCTGTCTTATGTACAGCTTGCTTTTCTTTTTAAGTATATGTTTAGCCTGTGGCTTGTCAAAGTTATTCTGCTTTTTCTGGCCTCCCTTCTATTCTCTTCATTTAAAAAGAAAAAAAGGATAACTCAATAACTTTTTTCCCTAAACTATTCATATCCCTCCAACCCATCTTCCTACCCACTCCCCTCAGAAAAAAGGAAAACAACAACAATAACATAGCCCTTGTAACAAATACACATAGTCAAGCAAATTAAATTCCCTTATTGGCTGTGTCCAAAAATATACGTCCTGTTCTTCATCTTCAGTCCACCACCTTTTTGTCAAGAAATGGAGTTAGCTATAGGGTTAAGATTGTGAAGGGAGGAAATGGAAGGCAGAGTAAGCAGATAGCATAGGAAAAAAGGAAGGGGTGATGTGAATTGATGCTGCAGTGAGGATTTTGAAGGCTCCAGGCAGAAAAGAGATGAAAGGATAGGTGGTTGTAGCAAGGGAGAAGAAAGATCATTTATAATGGAGGAAGACTAGCTATGGTGATGGTAAAATCACATACAATACCGTGTGTGGCCAAAAAGCTAAGAGAGCTGGGAGTTGGAGAAAATGAATAAAATGAGAGAATGCTTAAGGGATAGCAGGATATGTGTTGAAGTCTCCAAGTATGAAGTTTTGTGAGCTGGAGAACAAAACTGTTAGCCAGGTGATAAATTGTACGAGGAAAAAGGGAAACGACTTGGAAGCTGATAGATAACAATTAGCATCCAGAAAGGGCCATTCACCTGGATGGAGGGAATTCCATAGGAGATGAAGTTGCTGAGTAATTGTGGAAGGGGAAGGATCTGAAAGTGGAAGCTCAGAACAAGGACTACGTCATCTCTCCCTCCTGGGAATAGTATATGCCAGAAAGCCTTAGGAAGAATGCTCAGTAGTAGAGAGGGAAGCCAGGGATGTAGGGTATTCTTGGGAAATCTAGGTTTCTGTGAATGCAAGAAGATGGAAGGGGTATAAAACAAAGAGGTTTAAGATGAAAGGAAGTTTTTTATTTTTAAACAACAGAACAGGGGTTTTAAAGAAGACAATGGAAGGGAGGGCAGAGCAGGGAGGGGTAAGGCTAAAGTGGATGAGGATGAAGGAGCAGGGACTGGCAAGCAGGAGAAGAGAGGTTTTGCTTAGGTAGCTGGGGATTCTGAACCCTAGGGATTGGGACAGGGTGATTGTTGGTAACAGCAAAGCATGATCTGATTGGAACGTTCATCTAAAAGATCCTATGATGGTGGAGGGAGGGATCAGATTTTTTCTCCTCCAAATACGGGGGAGAAGGAAGCAATCAATTTGGGAAACTGGGGTAGTAAATACTTGGTAATCAGTATCCCAAGGCCTTGTTTCAATTCACATTTGACATTAGATTCTTTGCCTTATCCCAATATAGCAATGGGATGCTTGATGCCTACATATGTGAGATGTGTTTGGACTGGTGTTTGTGGCCATGCTCTTGGACAAGGTTTTGGTGGTAAGAGGCCTGGTTCCAGAGGCTCTGGTCCAGATGGTGAGAGGCCTGATATCTGGGCATTCCACGGTTATTAAGGGATCATAGGAGCATAGATTTAGAGTTGCAAAGGAACTCCCTCAGAAAAACTCCTTGAAGCATGGGATAAAATATATCTCCCAACTGAGCCAGAGATGACTGAAAAAGAAGCAGTTAGATCTTATGATATCTAGTTTGCAGTGGGGAAAAATTCAGCCAATGAATTATTTTGGCCTCAGTTCAGTACCTTTGCCTATCTATCATATGCTGAAAGATTTAAGGTTAGTCAGAGCAGATAAAATCTCAAAGCAGCTAGAATACTGATATCTGTGGAGCAAATTAACTGGTCCTTTAACTAAATTTAGGTCATCTGATGGCATCTGACTAATACCCTCTGAGGTGTCCTCTCTTTCTCTGGCTTTCCCACATCTCTACCCTGTTTTATCTTCTTCTTCTCCCACTTCTTAACTTCTTCTCACTCTTTGTCCTCACCCCTGATTTTCCACCCTGCCTTAATCTTTTCATCTTCAGTTCCTTGGTCCCCTTCTACTCCTTTGCTGTTGTCCCCATCTCTCTATTCTGCCTTGCCAGTTTCTTTCCCATTCCTATATCCTCTTCTGCCCCAATGCAACCTTTTTGGCTACCTCTCCTTTATTCTTAAGCACTCTCCGCTAGCTATAGCTCTTTCTTCACCTCCTCCTTGTCGTCTCCTGCTTTCTGTACCTCCATCCTACTCACCCCTGTCTTGACTAAGCTTGAGTTTCCCAAAGAAGAGAGGAAGGCTACAACCATCTTCTCTCTTCAAGAAACTGATAGTCATGATCATAGGCAGTGTGGTTCTTCTTAGACAGCTAGCTATGCTAGATGCTGAGATTTGCCAGGAAGATAACGATCACCTATTACTGGAGCTTCACCAAAGAGGCCAGAAAGTCTCTAAATCTAATGTCCAATGCTACCTCTCACAGGTGGAAGATCTGAGATTTATACTGGCTGCTAGGTTACATTCTGTTTCTCCTAAATGCATTCAGGCAACAACGCTCTGTACCCTCCACTAAGTGGCAGCTGAGGGCCATCTTTGGAGCAGCTGGATACTGCAGACAATGGATACCTTTGTTCAGTGACATTACCCTTATTGCTCTAAAAACTGTGTTCCAAAAACCTCTGAAGCTAGATCAACATCTCTTAACTCTGTTGGGAATTCAAAAGGGCCTGTTATCCATACCTGTATTGAGACTCCTAGTAGGTCCTTCACTCTTTCTATACTGAGCAGGGGTAGGGGGTAGTTTCTGGTGTCTTAACTCAAGCGTTAGGTCGCATTCTGAGCCTGATAACTCATTATTCTGCTCAGCTTGATGCTGAGCTATAGCTCAGTCATAGCTGCCACTGCCCTTTCAGCGGACAAGGCTTGTGATTTGGTTTGGGGCTCCCTTTGATAAAGCAATGCCACCATGAAGTTGAGGCACTCTTACTCTGTCACCAGACTCAGGCCTTCTTAGATCAGAGATTCACCAAATATGAAGTGACTTTTCTGAGTAATGAAAACATCACTCTCAAGTGCTGTGCAGTCCTCAACCCTGCCACATCACTCCCTGATTGACCAGTCTCTGAAGAGCCATTACATAACTATGCCTCTGTAGCAGACAAGGCTGAAAAGCCCCATAATGATCTTTCTGATACTCCTCTAGAGAACTCTGGCTTTATTTTCTATATGGATGGGTCATCCATAATGAGAGATGGTCCCCACCATACTGGTGCTGATATAATTTCTGAGTATACCTTGTATGCCTTCTAATCTCAGGGCTCAGGCTGCTCAGCTCATGGCCCTTACCCAGGCCCTCAACCAGGCGCATCATCTGGCCAAGGGAAAAAGGGCCATAATCTATACAGACTCAAGATATGCATTTGGTGTCTGCCGTGATGGCTACAGAAGGAAGTTTTAATATCTGCTGGTAAGCTCATTGCAGATGTGGGATTCATCAAACATGTCTTGTCTGCCCTGGAATTTCCTGCTACCCTGGCTGTTGTTCCCTGTTCCCATAGGAGGGACTGATCATGCTAACATCTCTGTCAAGCAAGCATGCAGCCTTCTGGTGATGAGAACTTCTCTCTTTCCTGTGATAACTCTGAAGTGGAGAAGTGGAAACAACTGTATAAGGCAAAATAGGTTTTCAGGGTCTGGGTGTGTTTGAAGGACAAACCATTCCTTCCCTGGAGTTTCTATCATGAGATACGTCTATCTGTTTACAGGAGGGGCACTTTGGCACTCAAGGAATTGTGGATTCCATTAGGAGGATTTGGATTGCTCCAGGTTTCACCAACATAGCTGCCCATATATGTGCCTCTTTGCCTACTTGCCAGGCTTATAACCAACATGTTTCCACACCAAAGCCTATGGTGGGTCTCCCTTAGCTTATACACACTTTGAGCATTTACAAATTGATTTCATTTGTATGCCTAAGGTTGGACAGTTTAAGGTATGTCTTGTTATCATTCACCTGGTTCATTTGGTGTGTAAAGACCCTTCCAGGCTCTCATGCCACAGGTAGATTTGTTGCTAAAATATTCCTGAAGGAGATTGTCTCTCACTTCAGCCCACTAGCCCAAACTGACTCTGATAAAGGCACTCAGTCCTGTAGTAGACTCATTCTATCCTATCCCAAATCTACTCTTTTCTAGGAGTGACTCCGTAATTCCACACACCTTACCACCCCCAATCTCAGGCCAAGCTGACAGTATGAGTAAGGAGTTTAAAATAACAGTTGGCAAGTTGGGTATTGAGATTCATCTAAAATGGCCTGATGTTCTCCTCCTAGCATTGTTCTATTTGTGTGGCAGGCCCAAGGGGGGAAATTACATATATCTCCTTTTGAAATGCCCTTTGGACAGCTCCTCCCACCCCATCCAAGAGAAAGCTTTTCTCACTGTCTATACATCTTTTTTTGATCATGGCTTTCAGATAGTCCAATAATTTTTAAATTCTCTCTCCTGGATGTATTTTCCAGGTCAGTTGTTTTTCCAATGAGATAGTTCACATTGTTTTCTGATTTTTCATTCTTTTGGATTTGTTTTACAGTGTCTTGATTTCTCATAAAGTCACTAGCTTCCAATTGCCCTATTCTGTTTTTTAAGGAAGTATTTTCTTCAGTAAGCTTTTGGACTTCCTTTTCCATTTGGCCAATTTTTCTTTTTAGGGCATTTTCCTCCTCATTGGCTTTTCAGACCTCTTTTGCCATTTGGGTTAGGCTATTTTTTATGGTGTTTTTTTTCTTCAGTATTTTTTTGGGTCTTCTTTAGCAAGCTGTTGACTTGTTTTTCATGATTTTCTTGCATCACTCTCATTTCGGGGAAGAGTCTTGACAGTGTTATAACTATGTTCTTCCCTTTACTTTCATAGCAAATTTCTACAATCAGGGAAGTTGAGCAGTAGAAATTTTGTAAGTATGTTACTAAATCTACTAATTAATAGATTCATATTGGAACATCTCTGAGTTACTATAATAGGATGCAAATATGAAAATCTTACAATTTTAATCTTTATTTGTGTTTAGCTTATAATACAGGGATGATGCCCTCCTCAGGGAGGAATTAGACAAAGATATAATGTAAAAGTTTCCTAATTAAATGAATAGTAAATTTTGAGAAAGTAACAGGATTAAGATACACACACACACATACACACACATATACCTAGGATATATTTCTGTTCTGTCCTATTTTTAGGAAAGATACATATGTATACAATTGGCTTCCAAATGTTTCTAAATAGAAGTTCAGGCTTTGAAAATGTTTTGGTAATAAATTCTCAAAACTGGATTAAGGATTTTACATGTAAAATTGCACTGAGAATTGTAAAGAAAGTGAAATTATTTCCCCATTTTAAAGTATTTGTCTGATAATTTCAAAAGACAGAAAAGGATTCATTTAATAACTTATATCATCATGAATATTTTTTTTTTAAAAAGATTCTTATATCAAGTATAGGATTTAGTTAAAGACAGAAACAGCGAGTAATAGATATAAAAACTGAAATTCCCTAAAATTTCACATCAATTATGGGTTCCTAATTTTATGTTCTTTTAATTCTGTTGTTAAAAGGATCAGAACCATATGGCTCAAACTGGTTTTTACCACATGAGGTAGTTACTGGAAAACCAAATTTAAGAGACTGTGCTAAAATGCATTAAGTCTTGTTACTGAAGATGTTAGGAGAATTATCTAGGAATATCTACATGTAACTTAGAAGGAGAGAATCTGAGCTCCCTTCACAGCAGTCCTGAAAATGAGGCCTATTCTAGAAAGTCCCAGAGAAGGTGTTTCCAGAGACCAGACAACCACATGAGACATCTGGGACTCAAAAATGTGCTAATTAAATGGACATTGGGAGTGAGTTACTAAGATACAAAGAGACTTGATCTTATTTAATATTGATGATCACCATTGTGTGCTTTAACCTTTAGTTTCTTGGTGTTTATGTTTCCTGAGATTTCTTGGTTACCTTGGTGACATAAGTCTCCCCTCTCAAAAAGAGTCCATTATGAGCCCTCTAAGTAGTTTGATTTGTAGCCAGACTTAATTTACCTATACAATCTATTTAACAAGGTTTGCATATCGTCATTATTGTTCTTGGACTCTGTGTTAGCTGTTGCACTAAGCCATGCAAATGGATGCTTTCCAGTGGTCTGTTCCTGGTTTTTGTTTTCTCTTTTTTCAGTTTTCCTTTTTCTTTTTTTTTCTTTTCTCTTTTTTGCTAGTCAATGGAATTAAGTGACTTGTGGTTGCACAGCTAGTAAGTGTCAAGTGTCTGAGGCCAGATTAGAACTCAAGTCTTTTTACAGTGGTCTTTTCTTGGTACATAATGTTGATGGTGAGCATGAACACATTAAAAACCCTATAAATTTGACTTATAGATTAGTGATCTGTGGGGGTAGTGGGCTGGTCCCTCCTCTCATAAATCAAAGGTGTAGGAGAGATTGAGAGAATTGTAGAAAGTGCGAGAACCACACTGACTCCATCTTGTGACTCAATTCTGGATCTATCTTGGTTCCCTTTCCTATTTCTGTTTTGTAAGAAAACTTTATTCAATTATGGGAATTGTGAGAAAACTTTATTGCATTGTTTGAACTTAGACTTACATGGCTGGGAAGCTGGACCATCTCTATCTGTTGCTAACAGACCCTTAACTAAGTAACTATGTTATGCCAATCAGAAACCTAGTCAGATCCAAAGATCAATGCAAGGAGTTTTCTCACCATTATACATCTCAAGCAAACTTTTATGTCTTATTTGAACACTGGCCTCATACTGGTCAATCAGTTACTTTTTCTTCCCTACTCAGAAAGCCTCTAATCTTTCCTCCAATTAGAAATCAAATGACCTAATCTTGTGTCCTGGTTATATTCTGTTAATTGTTTTCTTTTAATGCATAAATATCTGTCTCCTCCTGCATTTTGGGTCCAGTGCCAAGCCAAGGAGGCCTGACCCCAATTCATTATGCAATTGACATGTATTTCTTAATCAAGTGACATGCTCAGAACCTTGAACCTTGGTTTCCATGGTTATTTCAGATTTCACTTATTACAGCAGTGATGGGAAGCTAGTTTAGGAAACACAAAATGAATGATCCATATATACAACATAAAAAAATTGAACTTGAACACATAAAAGTATTAATGAGATCAAGTGAGATAATGTATGTAAAATACTTTGCAAACTTCAAAGTGCTATATAAAGTTGCCTATAAAGATTTTTAAAAGTTTTTACCTTGATAGGAAATACCATAGAAAGCAATCACTAGCACGATCCACAAATAAATAGCGTTCCTCAGCTTCTGGTGGCTAGCAAGAAATGAAGGAGAGATGGGAATGAAGCATGCTCTGAACTAATTTTAAAATAAAAACAATATTAGGAATATAATCTTAATCTCTATTTTCTGGATGAATAATTTAAGTAATAGAAAAACTAATTATTCAAGATAACCAAAACAGTCATAGACAAATTCCAAAATGTAATGAAGAAATTTGGAAATTACAGCATTATAGCTTTTATAGAAGCCCTTTAGTGACTGGCAAGAAAAGTAATCTCTTCATCAATAATAAATACAAAATAGTTTGATTTCACTATTGTCCTCTTTTCCATAAGACACTGTGGAAGAAGGATGTGAAGGAACTGGAAAGAAATGGGGGAAAAGAGAAGAGAATCTCAAAAAGTAAAAGGAAGAAGGGAAGTTCCAATCTCTTTGGAATCTAGTTCTTTTTGCTACATTTAATAAGCCATGTGACTACAAGTCCTCTTTGTAGTTCTATTTCTCCATTTGTCAAATGAGGGGGTTGAATTAAGTGACCTCTAAAGACCCTATCAGCTTCAATATTGTATGATTCCAAGTAAGCCTTCCTGACTCCAGGCCAAAAACTAAGAGGCTGCCCTGGAATCAAAGAGAAGAAGCAAGGGAAGCACGTGTATAAAGTTTTCAATACTGCCAAATGGAACATTAGAACAAAACCAAACAAAATGTATTTTCAGAAATATGTATTTTATTAGAAAAATAAACAAAGCATTTGAATGCTATAATATACTTTTAATGGTGTCATGGTGGTGATGTGGTGTCATGCTGGTAAGCAGGACTGATGGGGTATGGACCCAAGCTGAGACCTATGCCCCTCACCCCAAAAAAGAATTTGAGTCTCATTTTTCTATGGGCCCAGAAAACCCTTAAACTTTCCTTGAACTCACTTACCTGGTCAAGGAAGTCTAGCATTATTATTCCTATCAACTGGTTCTTTGATACCCTAATTAAGCCCAATCCCCAATTGTTTATAGCCCTAGGTTATATTTCCCATCCTTGATCTTATCCAGACCCCATTCAACCTCTTCCTTATCTTCTTGGCCCTATATTCCAGTTCTTTGTTACCCTAATAAAGCCTAGCCCTCCACTGTCCATTCCTGATGGACACTCCCATTTGGATACTCCCAGGACCCACCCCACTCACCCCAGCTTCAAGATCCTCCCTAAACTCCTCCTCCAGTACTGGCCACTCCCATCAAGATGCCCCTTCTCCCAGTCCCCCGCCCCCAGTCACCCCAAAACTACTTGTTCACTCCTAGATCCCTCCCACAGTCTTTCTATATATAAGATCTATCCTGGCCACTGTTTAGGGGCTGAGACTTCCTTACGCCCACTCGTCAAAGAGTCTGGCCTATCTGGCTCATCTTTTATAAACCTTGTCTTTGGCTGAAAGAAGATTTGGGTTGAATTCTTTTGGACAGGACCCGCATGTCGTGATTTTGGGGTCCCAGCACCCCTAGCATCTACTCCTCAACAGGACGGTGGGGCTGTCAGTTAGTCTTACTTGTTCCCACCTTTATGTGGTCTGGTACACTCCTCCCTTTGGGCCATTCATTCAGTGAAATCTCCCTCCCTCAGTAGCTACTTCCTTCTTCCGCTGGAAACAATGAGAGGAAAATGGTGGAGGCCCCATTTCAATTCCATCTTAGCTCGTCAGGCTACTCTATCCACTGCTTTTCACCCAATGCTTAGGGATCCTAGTATAAGTAATCTCTCTCTGCCTTGGGAAGTTTAAAATGAATTAATAGTTTGCTCCAATTGCTCTGAGACTCTAGCCAGAGATAGCGTTCTGGCCAAAAGTAGCTTTAAATCTGTCTTTCTCCATCCAGGCACTCAACAGTTGCCCTTCTCTGTTAGCATCTGAACAATGACACATATCAATGAGTAATTAGTGGACAACTGCAATGAACACAATTGTTTGTTTGCTTGAGAACAAGTAAACAGAAAGTTAAACATACTTTTTTTTCTTTTTCTTTTTTTTTTAGGCAATTGGGGTTAAGTGACTTGCCCAGGGTCACACAGCTAGTAAGTGTCAAGTGTTTGGTCTGAGGCCACATTTGAACTCAGGTCCTCCTGACTTCTGGGCTGGTGCTCTATCCACTGCGCCACCTAGCTGCCCTCTGAAAGTTAAACATACTTTTAAGAAAGAGATGGGATCATCAAACACACAGCTTTTCAAAAAAAGAGGGAATGAAAGGAGAGAAGGGAAATGGAGAATCACCCCCTTGGTCTTGCCCTTTGAATGGATATCAGCAAAACAGTATCTGCTAAGAGATATGCCTTGTGGTTCTGGCAACAGCATCTACGCAGGCCTCTTTCCTACTTCCATTGTGAATTCCCCTCTAGCGGCTTTAGCTTTTGTGACTTTACATGGCTGTTCTCTTCTTTGCTCTCTTAGCTTTTTGTGGCTTCTTGATTTCTCTTCCATACAAGTCTAAAGTGGTGGAGGATAAACCTATCAAAATCAGGCTTTTTCCAGTATTAAGATTGGGGTAAAATTTCTCTGAGTGGTTTGGGGGGTGAGAGGGAGGATCTAAGAGACTTCTAAATGAACTATTAGGCATTCATTTCCAGTATCCTGATTTTGGCTATTGTCAAGGGGCAAGGCAAGATAGTCCGATCTACTATTTTCTCATGATGTTAAATACATTTTCTTGTCAAAGTTAGCTCTTTGGAAGTGCGTGCGTGCGTGCGTGTGCGCGTGCGTGTGTGTGTGTGTGTGTGTGTGTGTGTGTGTGTGTGTGTGTGTGTGTATTCGCTAGAAGGATGAACTTCTTCTCCATGGATACAGGATCTAATATATATTTGATATGAAAAAAGTTCACAAATGAACAAAGGATAAAAGCATTCCTATAGTACTACATTGTCTTCATTAGACAAGCTGGAAGTTAGGGAGTGAGGAGGACCATAGGTAACAGAGGAAGTGATAACAAACATCAAGAATTCTTTCAATCTTTGGCAATAGTACCTCAGGCATTGATGAATCACCAGTGTTGGGATCAAAAAAGAAGAAAAATTCAAAACCCATCATCCCTACTATCTAAATACTAAAGAAATAAAGAAACAGAAAGAAAACTATACTTGCACCTACCTTGCTTATTTCTTAGTCATTTAGCTGTTCACCCACCCACTGAAAATAAAGATTGCTAACTGCATATGGGAAAAAATTCTCAAAGCTTAGGTACACATGGTTGGGTACCCCAAAATTAAATATATGTTGCAGTGGCTGATCTTCTTTGTATTGTATTTGTGAGCAGAGCATTGAAGCAAAAACAGGTCGAAGGAATGCATGAAAAAAAGGAAAAAGAAATTGCAAACAGGATTATGTGCCAAGTTGTTTTTCCTTTTTCCCTTTCACCTAAGTGTTTTGGAGTCTATAGCAGGAAAACAAATGAGATTCCCATTATCACCCACCAATGAATGAATAAAAATGTATTTCAGGACTTAATGGGGCCAAGCGATGTGCTAAGTGTAGGAGATACAAATAGAAAAGACAGCTTTTGCACTCAAGGAGTTCACATTCAAAGAGGGGAGAGTATCACATATCAAATGATTCAGCCGCAGGGCTAAGCCTTCTTTATAGTTCTACTACTATCATACTATACTATCATATAGTTCTACTACTACATATCACTACTATCGTAGTGCCAAGGCAGCAAAAAACCCACAAAAACACAACTCAGTCTTTGTATATCAACAAAATTGGCTGTGCAGCAACCATGAGAGCTTATTAACTTTTACCCATTGGCTGTGCAGCAACCATGAGAGCTTATTAACTTTTACCCAATTTAAAAATACTTAAAGTAACTAAAATATTAAAGTACAAGTAATACACTCTTATAAATAAAATTTTAAATTCTTAGTATACGACTATAAAGTAATGTAAGCAATGTTTTACATTACAACCAGCCTCATTTCTTTATAGCCAAAATGCAGTCTATAGCTAACATTGAAAAACTGTAGTTATTCAGAAAGAAGGCATTATAAGATTTAATAAATAAAAATGGTTTCACAAGATTTTAAAAATCACTGTTAAAATCAACTTACCTTATCTCTAACTATGGGTTTTATATTATGAACACCTTCAGTGAAACAGAACATTTCTGTGTTTGGTGCACTAAAGTAAAAAGAAAATTCACAATCTGTTAAACACTTTCTTTAAATTTTAATATGAACATCCAATATTCATTACAAATTAATAAGTGGATTGACTAGATGATCTCTAAGGTCCCCCCTTTCAGCTCTAAATTGAAGAGCCTCTGGTTTTTTATTTTTTTTATGAACTTGACACATTGCAACAAAAAGTGAACATTTTCCTACACACAGAAAAGATTTGCATATGAAAGTGAGAATCTCTACTGCCTATAACTTGGGCTTTGCTTTCTTTCTTTCTCTCTTTTTTAAGAAATAATGGAAGAAGGCAGAAATATACATAACTTAACCAGGTCAAAGATAAAAATCTCTACTTTGAACCTAAGAGGGAGAGCATGCTACGTTATTATGATTTTATTAATAATTTCAGTAACTTCCATAAATAGCAGAGAAAGGACCATGTGAACAAGACCATTTCACCCTTGGGCTAAAAGTAATATTTGTTGTAACCAAGCCAGGTCATTTGGGAGGCATCTTTTCTTTTCTTTTCTTTTTAGGCAGTTGGGGTTAAGTGACTTGCCCAGGGTCACAAAGCTAGTAAGTGTCAAGTGTTTGGTCTGAGGTCGGATTGAACTCAGCTCTTCCTGACTTCAGGGCTGGTACTCTATCTACTGCACCATGTAGCTGCCCTTGGAAGGCATCTTTAAAACCTCCCCAAAAGGCTTTATTTGTGAAAAATTTCGCTGACACTGAGTCTCCATGACATGAAGCTCTTCCTCTCAATTAGCCCATTATGATTTCTTTAAAAGGTAGCCTTGTAGTTTTGTAAGTGTAGGATTTTGCAAACTCAGCATTTAATCTCAGCCTGACTTAGTTTACCTATAGAGTCTGTTTAACTATGTTTGTTTCCTTAGAGGAGGTATGAGATAATGACCCTTTTTTTTTTTGGTTGTCGAATCCCCAGCCTCTTTTATTTTTTATTTTATTTTATTTTTTTTAAAACATGTGTTTTTAAAACTTTGAGTTCCAAATTTTCTTCCTTCCTCCCTCCCCACCCACCCTCATTGCAAAGGCAAGCAATTCAATATAGGTTGTACATGTGCAGTTATGCAAAACACTTCCTTAGTAGACATGTTGTGAAAAACTAACTCTATTTCCCTTAATCCTATCCTGCCCTCCCATTTATTCTATTCTTTCTTTTGACCCTGTCCCTCCTCAGAAGTATTTGCTTCTGATTACCCCTTTCCCATCTGCCCTCCTCTCTATCACCCCCTGCTCTCTTGTCCCCTTCTCCCCCTATTTTCCTGTAGGGTAAGACAGATTTCCATACCCAATAGAATGTGTATGTTATTCTCTCCTTAAGCCAAATCCTATGAGAATAAGATTCACTCATTCCCTCTCACCTTCCCTTGTTTCCCCTCCACTGTGAGAGACTTTTCTGTTTTTTTTGTGAGATAATTTACCCCATTCTACCTCTCTCTTTCTTCTCCAATTATCATTCTCTCTCATCCCTTAATTTTATTCTCCAGATATGACCCCTTCATCTTCAACTCACCCTGTGCCCTCTATCTATCTATATATACATACATACAATTTTTTTCCTTCAACTACCCTAATACTGACAAAGTTCTCATGAGTTACAAATATCATCTTTCCATGCAGGAATGTAAACAGTTCAATCTTAATAAGTCTCTTATGATTTCTCTTTCCTGTTTACCTCTTCATGTTCCACTGGAGTCCTGTATTTGAAAGTCAAATTTTCTATTTAGCTCTGGTCTTTTCATCAGGAATGCTTGAAAGTCCTCTATTTCACTGAATGACCATTTTTTCCCCTGAAGGATTATACTCAGTTTTGCTGGGTAGGTGATTCTTGGTTGTAATCCTATCTCCTTTGCCCTCTGGAATATTATATTCCATGCCCTGCAGTCCTTTAATGTAGAAGCTGCTAAATCTTGTGTTATCCTGATTGTGTTTCCACAGTACTTGAATTGTTTCCTTCTGGCAGCTTGTAATATTTTCTCCTTGACCTGGGAACTCTGGAATTTGGCTACAATATTCCTAGGAGTTTTCTTTGGGGATCTCTTTCAGGAAGGAGATCTGTGGATTCTTTCAATTTCTATTTTGCCCTCTGGTTCTACTATATCAGGGCAGTTTTCCTTGATAATTCCTTGAAAGATGATGTCTGGGCTCTTTTTTTTGATCATGGCTTTCAGATAGTCCAATAATTTTTAAATTCTCTCTCCTAGATGTATTTTCCAGGTCAGTTGTTTTTCCAATGAGATATTTCACATTGTTTTCTAATTTTACATTCTTTTGGATTTGTTCTACTGTGTCGTGGTTTCTCATAAAGTCGCTATCTTCCAATTGCTCTATTCTAATTTTTAAGGAAGTATTTTCTTCAGTAATCTTTTGGACTTCCTTTTCCATTTGGCCAATTTTTCTTTTTAGGCATTTTTCCCCTCATTGGCTTTTTGGACCTCTTTTGCCATTTGGGTTAGGCTATTTTTTATGGTGTTATTTTCTTCAGTATTTTTTTGGGTCTTCTTTAGTAAGCTGTTGACTTGTTTTTCGTGATTTTCTTGCATCACTCTCAGTTTTTCCTCTACTTCCCTTATTTGCTTCTCAAGATCCCTTTTGAGCTCTTCCAAGGCCTGGGACTGATTTATATTTTTCTTGGAGGCTTTGGGTGTAGGAGCTTTGACTTTGTTGTCTTCTTCTGGTTGTATATTTTGATCTTCTTTTTCAACAAAGTAAGATTCTATGGTCTGACTCTTTTTGTGCTGCTTGCTCATGATCCTGGCCAATTACTTGAGTTTTAAACTCTTTGTGAAGGTACAAATCTGCTTCTAATGTGGAGAATGTACTGTCCCAAGCTTCAGGGGTTTGTACAGCTGTTTTCAGAGATACTTGTAGGGACCTATAAATTTTCAGCTCTTCCAAGGTGGCATGATAAGGTGTTTACTCCTTTCCTGGCCTGTGACTACAAGTACTCCTTTCTGTCCTGTAACTGTGAGGAGGGGTTTCCCTCTACAGCCACTACAAGCTCCACTATACCAGTGCTCCTCCTCACCCCAGCACCTTCGCCCAGAACTGTGACCCAGATCCACACACGGGCAAAGCAAGAGATTCCTGCCTCAGCACTGGCAAAGAGATCCCTGCAATCCCTCTCTGATCAGCCACCGGATTCCCCCTCTGTCTGTGGGCCGGAAGCTTGGGAAACAGCGGCAGCCCCCCCCCCCCGGCCACGTTCTTGGGGAATAGAGCTGAAACGCTGCATTCCTTTCTCAGCACCTACAGAAACAGACTTTTCCCATTGACCTTCTAAGTTGTGTTTGGCATTGGTGGATTGAGGAGCCTGGAAACTGCCACAGCTGTCTGAGTTTTCAGTCCTGAGGCCTGCTCCAGGTTTGCTGTGGCCTGCACACTGCTGCGCTCCCAGCCTGGCGCGAAAACCTTTCTGATGAATCATCCAGGTTGTCTTGGCTGGAAATTTGTTTCACTCTGTCTTTTTGTGGGTTCTGCTGCTTCAGAATTTGTTTAGAGCCATTTTTTATGAGTATTTGGAGGGGTTTGGGGGACAGCTCAAGCAAGTAACTACTTTCACTCTGCCATCTTGGCTCTGCCCTCCGATTATGACTCTTCTTGACTAAGTGTGTTTAACTTTTATGACATCATTATCTTTGATAAATATTTATAATCATTGTATAATTTTTTTCTCCTGGTTCTGATCATTTCATTCTGCTTTAGTTCATATAAGTCTGTCTAGGTTTCTCTGAATCATCCCTTTCATCAGTTCTTGTATTCATATACCATACTTAATTTGTTCAACCATTTCTTAATTGATGGGCACTTACTTTGTTTCTTGTTGTGTGCTAAAACAAAAAAGTGATGCTATAAGTATTTTTGTACTTATGTGCTCCTTCCCTTTTTGATTGATCTCTTTGAGGAATTAGGCTAGGAGTGCTAATTCTGGGTCAAAATATTGCATGCACGGTTCAGTGACTTTTTGGATATAGCTCCAAACTGCTTTCAAGAAAAACTTAACAGTTCTACTAAGAGTTCATTAATGTGCCTGTCCTATCACACCCCCTACAATAATTGTAATTTTCCTTTCTGTTTTTGATAATCTGATGAGAATGAATAGAACCTCAGAGCTCTTCTGATTTGCACATCTCTTATTATTAATTTGGAATATTTTTTATTTGTTTGCTGATAGCCTGTCGTTCTTCTTTTGAGAACTGCCTTTTCATATCCTTTGAAGATTTACCTTTTGGGTAATGGTGGTTCTTAAATATTTATATTTTGGATATCAGATCTTTAAAAGAGAAATTTGCTGAAAATATTTCCCCCAGCTAATTATTCCCCCACTAATTAAAAATATGCTGCTTTAGTTTGCTCAAAGCATTAAAATTTTGTGTAATCAAAATTGTCCATATTACCTTCTGTGATCCTTTCTATCCTTTGCCTGGTCAATAACTCTTCTCTCATTGATAGTTACGAAAGGTTTCCCTGATTCTCTAATTTTTAAAAACAATTTATTTATTAATTTTTAGCTTTCAACATTCACTTCCATAAGATTTTGAGTTTAAGTTTTCTCCCCCTCATTTCCTCCCTCCTTCCCAAGAGAGTGTGCAATCTGATACAGGCTCTACTTATGCATTCATATTAAGCATATTTTCACTTTAGTCATGATGTAAAGAAGAATTAGAACCAATGGGAGGAACCACAAGAAAGAAGAATTAAAACAAAACAACAAAAGAAAAAGAGAGCAAATAGTATGCTTCCATCTGCATTCAGATTCCATCGTTCTTTCTCTGGATGTGGATAGTTTTTTCCATTGTGAGTCTTTTGGAGTTGTCTTAGGTCCTTGCATTGCTGAGAAGAGCTAAGTCTATCAAAATCAGTCATTGCACAATGTGGCTGTTACTGTGTACAGTGTTCTCCTGGTTCTGCTCACTTCACTCAATAACAGTTCAGTTAAGTCTTTCCAGGTATTTTTTGAAGGTTGCCTGCTCATCATTTCTT